TGGATTTATTTTATTTCCTTTTGCAAATATAGTATATTTATGGACTTTTGAATTTAATTAATATTTTTTTTAAGATACTATGAAATTTATATTTTTATTATTATAATACGAAAAAAACAAAAAAAATATAGTGTGTATATTTCACACATTTTGATTTTTATTAAAATTAATTCGGATATGGATTTATTATCTAAATAATATATATATATATATATATATAATATCAAAATATATGTATAATTTATGTATAACTTATATAAATAATATCAAAATATTTAATTTTAATTTATGGAAAGTTTGACTTTCAATTATTAATTATTAATAAATTATGTGAATTTGCATCAAATAAAATTAATCGCCGGATTTGTTGTCAATCGTATCTATTTTTTATTTTATGAAATAAAATTACATTTATTTTAATTATGTCCAATCATAGTGAAATATATATGTATACATATATGCATTTATATAGACATTAGCTAATATAAACAATATATATTTCCTTAAAATCGTTTTATTTACTTATTTAGTGTGTGATAATTAGGTATAAATACCCCCAATCTCAACCCCAACTCATTCATCTCACTCTTCATCTACATATTTTGTTATAATCATGCTAAACTAAGGTTCTCATCCTAAAACTCTTTTTTTATTCCTTTTGTTTTGTAAATTTATAATGCAATTAGTATTTATCGATGTGTTCGCTTGAAACATTTATTTGTCGTTGAATATTTATGATGTTATTCATTTATTATGTATGTGTACATATAACAATCTAACTTATGTTTGTTTTGCTTTTTTTTTTTTTTTTTTTTTTTTTTTTTTGCAGATCCATGGATAACATCGTTTGTGTTACACGCGGCGATATTAGCAAGAGAGAAGCCATGTGACGTCGTATAACACGCATAAATATGATCGGAGTATATTGTAAGGATGGATTTAGAAAAAAAAAATAGTTATGCATTTCCATCTTTTGATTACAAGTGAGATGATTGTAAGCTTGGTTTCGATGAAAAAGAAATTGAGATTAATGAATTTGATTGAGCATGTAATAGATTATTTAGCGTTTACATATTTTTGTAACAATATTAATTTTAGTGTCCATTAATAATGCTTATTATTATCTATTTTGTTCATATGTACATACATTATTATTAATTTGTACGTTCATACTAGTTTCTATGATTTTATTTCAATAAATTTGGATCATATTTATTTGTTTATTTTTATTATATTGTACATAAAACTGTATTTACCATCTATATATAATATAAAAAGATGATCTATGCACCTATTTAAGACATGTGGCAAATGTCTATGTCATATCTCCAAATTGCTTAGTTGGAGTTCAATTAATGATATTGATTAGTTGACATTTTGATTTTGGTACGTATTTAAGTTCTTACATATTTAACATTTCTACACTCATTTAAATATTTAGCACATGTATAATTTTAATTTTAATTCGAAAGATATTATCTTAGTTATAATTAATTTTCCGAAAAATGTAATATTTTGACTCTTTTTTTTAGTATTATTTTTATTTAATTTTTTAACTAAATAGTTGTGTTTATAATTTCGTAATTTATATATACATTTGAATAATTTATGAAATTTTAATGTATTTGAATGATTTGAATAAATATATTCATTTCGTTTTAATTATTTTCAACATTTTGGGATATCTGTATAAAATTTGAATATTTATATTTTTTAATTCAATTATATTTGAATATTTATCGTCTTAAACTAGTACATTACAATTAAAACTACAATGTTGTTTTAACAGTTTTAAAACTACAATTAAAACTACAAGTATCAGTATCAGTATCAATAGTAATATTAGTATTAGTATTCATATTAGTATTAGTATTAGTATTAGTATTAGTATTAGTCTTATTAGTATTAGTATTAGTATTAGTATTAGTATTAGTCTCAATATCAATATCAATATTAGTATCAGTATTAATAACAATATCAGTATCACTATGAGTATGAGTATGAGTATCAATATCGGTATCGGTATCGATATCAGTATTAATATCAGTATCAATATGTGTATGTGTATCAGTATGTGTATTAATATTAGTATCAATATTAATATCATTATCAGTATCAATATCAATATCAATATTATTATCATTATTATTATTTATCATTATTAGTATTCGAATTCGTATCAGTCTTCGCGTATTAGCATTAACATTAACATTAGCATTAGTGTTAGTATTAGTATTAGTATTAGTCAAGGTTCTAAATATCGGTTATCGGGTCCGAGGTGGTTAGGGACCGCCACACGATAAATCGGCGCGGCGGTGATTAATCGGAGATATATCGGCAATAAATCGGTTTTTAAATTTAGTGTAATATATTTCTAAATATTATTTGTAAATACATAAAAACGTATAAAAAAAATTGTACATGATTCTCTCCTCATCGTTTATATATTCTAATCACATAACAAAAGTTTAATAATAGTGAGATAAAGAATGCCGCCGCGGTGTGTGGATTGTTTTGTGTTTTTTTTTTCAAGGTCAGGTTCTTCTTACGGGGTCGGTAATTTTGGGTTTGATTGAAAGAGATAATGAATTAGAATTAAAAAAATAAAAAAATAAAAAAATAAACCCCCTATTTTCCTTCTAATAAAAAAAATAAAAAAAAAATAAAAAAAAAAATATATTTTTCCGATATATCGTTCGATGTTTGACCCGATATATCGGTTTGACCCGCCATAGACCGCCACAGACTGCCTCGGACCGCCTCAC